TTAATAGTTTAAATAATAACATAAATTAGGTATTTTGTGGAAATGCATCCACAATATTAAAATTGATTAAAAAAACAAATAAAAAATTACAAAAACTATATAAACATACCAACGTTTTTAACTCTTATTAAGTATATTAAAATTAGTTTATATGTCGGATATTTCGGTTGGGTTTCGGGTTGGACCGTACCTTAGGGTACATGACCTGAAAGGATACTGAAGTCAAGCTTCCACGCCCGACTCGGGTCAAGAACAAGACTCCGGCTCCGGTTCAAATCACCGCCGAGCAGATTCTCAGAGAAGCTCGAGAGAGGCAAGAGGCTGAGATCCGTCCTCCTAAGCAGAAAATCACTGACTCCACTGAGCTTTCCGATTACAGACTCCGACGTCGGAAGGAGTTTGAAGACCAGATCCGCCGCGCGAGATGGAATATCCAAGTTTGGATGAAGTATGCTCAGTGGGAAGAGTCGCAGAAAGATTACGCTCGTGCTCGGAGCGTCTGGGAAAGAGCCATCGAAGGCGATTACAGGAACCATACACTATGGCTAAAGTACGCAGAGTTCGAGATGAAGAACAAGTTTGTAAACAGTGCGAGGAACGTTTGGGATCGAGCCGTTACGCTTCTCCCGCGAGTAGACCAGCTTTGGTACAAGTACATTCACATGGAGGAGATACTTGGGAATATCGCCGGAGCTAGACAGATATTCCAACGGTGGATGGATTGGTCACCGGATCAACAAGGTTGGCTTTCGTTTATCAAATTCGAGCTTAGGTATAACGAAATCGAACGTGCTAGATCAATCTACGAGAGATTTGTGCTTTGTCATCCAAAAGTTTCTGCTTATATTCGATATGCAAAGTTTGAGATGAAAGGTGGTGAAGTTGCTCGTGCGAGGAATGTGTATGAACGTGCCACTGAGAAGCTTGCAGATGATGAAGAAGCTGAGACGCTCTTTGTTGCGTTTGCTGAGTTTGAAGAACGATGCAAGGAACCAGACCGTGCTAGGTTTATCTACAAGTTTGCTCTTGATCATATTCCTAAAGGAAGAGCTGAGGATTTGTATAAAAAGTTTGTGGCGTTTGAGAAACAGTATGGTGATAAGGAAGGGATTGAGGATGCCATTGTTGGGAAGAGGAGGTTTCAGTATGAAGATGAAGTGAGGAAGAACCCTTTGAACTATGATTCTTGGTTCGATTACGTTAGGTTAGAGGAGACTGTAGGGAACAAAGATAGGATTCGAGAGATCTATGAGAGGGCTATTGCTAATGTTCCACCTGCTGAAGAGAAACTATACTGGCAAAGATACATCTATCTTTGGTGAGTTTTCTCTTTTTCCAATTTGGTTTACTCAGAATCCATTTACAATTGGAATGTTGGGTTCTTATGTTGATCATGGTTGCATAGGTTAAGTGTTAGGTTAAGTGTTAGTTCATGCGTTGGGTACTTATGTTAATCATGGTTTGCATAAGATGTTGATCATGCTTTAAGAAGGTTAAGTGTTAGTTTCCTGTAAATAAACTGTTTGAGTTTGGTTGTCTTAGACCGATATTAGTTCTTATGTTAATCATCTTTATCAAGCTTTTAGCACATTCAGGTCACTAATAAATCTATTGAAAATGATTTGCGATATCTCAGCCTGCTCTTGACATGCCTGAGCTGCTATGGAAGGTAAATTTTTTAGTCTAATACATTCAAAGAAGTGAAGATTTCTCAGACTTTCAAACCGATTGGATCATTAAATTTTCTTATTTGTGTGTGGCAGGCATATATTGATTTCGAGATATCAGAAGGGGAATTAGAGAGGACACGAGCTTTATATGAGCGACTCTTGGACCGTACAAAGCATTACAAGGTGTGGGTTAGTTTTGCAAAGTTTGAAGCTTCTGCTGCG